TAAATGTAATATTAACATAATTGATATTGAACTCTTAAAGTTAATGTGGCCCCGTTGCAACGCACGGGTGTTCTTCTAGTCTATGTAAGACTTTAACGTGTCGCAATGGATGTGTACTTGTGATATCAGTTGTACGCGGCAAACAGTGATCATGAGATCGTTGTTCCATGTACAATCGGTGGTCTCGATCCTACCGGGGCAGGGTCCTCACACTATCTGAAGGCGTTGCTATTAAACGAACCCGTCGTCTTTGTGATGTCATGAAATGGTTCGTATAAATATGGTTATTATCGTACTTTGCCGATTGTTGATTTGACCGCTTTGGGGTTTTATTTTTTCCTCGTCTACACGTAGCTTTGATCTTATAATACCTCCACCCAGAATTAATTGTCACTGAAAAATGAGTGAATCCACACACTAAAACAAGTTTAGATACACCCATTTCGGTGACAATTAATTTTGGATAGAGGGAGTATGGCTTCCCTATCTGTGGGCATGTTTTTGTGTGTACTTTGGTGTCAGCTGTGCATTCTAGTTATGCAAAAGTCGGGTATGTGTTTATTGTGTTTTGTAGGCTTTAAATGCTTCATTTTGAGTCAATAAAATCCATCATTTCTAAAAAAATATATGAGTTATCTCATTAATCTGTCTGAAAATACGATACTCTTTTCGTTTTAAAATAGATGACTCAACTTTTTACACTCATTTATTTTAAAAGGGAAGGAGTAAACAGCTTTGAAACAGTGAGCTGATCCCTGAACAAAACTTCTACTATTAGAGTGGCACGCAAGCTCCAAGCGGTCTTGTCAACGCCTTGGATGGACCAATCCAAGATAGGCCCTGTGAAACGCTTGACTGGTCCAGGTCTAGGCGCCCAGTACATGCTGCAGCGCACTGCCAAATCAGGGGAAACCTGATCGCAGCGGCAGTACATGCACGAGTCACATCCACTCCCAGTATGCATGGCAATCAAGTGGGCAACCATTTCATTAATCTGTACCGCCTGAAGATCATACGCTGCATTGACGACATGCCATTAGCAGACCAATATCACTGCGCAAGTTCCAGCAAGGCGAGGACTAACACGAAGCACACGCTCGCACTGAGGTGGTGGGAATGGCTAGCTACGCGCCCAGCCGCATTTGCACCGCACGTCTATATTTGGTCTCCATCAAAATTACTTTCACTATCCCATTGACTAGTACGAAGGTGCGCCCGCCCGATCGATCCATGCCGGGCAGTGATGAACTTTTTAAATTGGCTACAGTACATTGGAGCAGGGGCAGACCCAGGACAAAAATGACCCGGGGTCCCATGTCAGGGTGGACACGGTCCGGGCCGGTCCGGTCCCTGACCGAGCCGTCACTTGGACCGGCCGTCGGCGGACCGACCAGTCTGGCGGTCCTGTTTCTAGGGACCGGACCGGCGGCGGCAAAGCCCGGGCAGGACCGAGAGGACCGAGAGGACCGGCCAGTACACAAGCCAGAGCGCGCACTCGAGCTCCGACAGCGGCTGCTCCGGCTAGAGGAAGCGCAGCTCATCTACGAGATGTCTGCAAGCTACAGCAGAACCAAAGGAGGCTAGAGTAACCAAGAACATCACCAATGGCAGCCCAACAGTGACGGACGGCCAGTGAACTGAGACGAAAGGGACGATGATTGATGCGGCGCCGTAGGACCTCCCACGTCGATTTCTTTGGCTGAGACGACTAATCAGTCTCTGGCACATCCAATGGACAAGGTTACCGGGGCCAGAGAGTCCAGTGGCCGCGCGGACGACAGCCCCGCGGGTGGCGGACGTAGACGACGGTAGTTTTTTTTGCGCCCCCGCCACGCCTGGGTCGCCACGCACCCGCCATAGCCCCGACACGCCCTCGCCACAGCCCCGCCATGCCCCATCCAAGCCCCAGCCACGCCCCACTCCACTCGGTGCTCACCGTGCTCCCGCCGCGCTTCGGCCACGCTCCCGCCATGCCGATGCATCGGTTTGTCGGTCCTGCGAGCTGGCTCGGTGGAAGCCCGGACCGGACCGACGAATTTTCGGGCCGGAATCTGCAGCTCGGACCGGCTATATTTTTCGTCGGGCTAGGACCGAGCCGGCCTGAACCGAGCGGGCTACGAGCCGGTCTGAAAGACCGCTCGTTTCGTCCACCCTGAGTCCCATGTCTATTACATATACGTGGATATCAGGTCATAATATAGATGAAAGTAACACAATAACAATATAATATACCTAGAATATGATATTACCGTAAATATGGTTACCAAAGGTCCAAAATAGAGAGTTCACTTGAAATACTAGTTGATTGTGGGAAATTGAACAGTAAAAGAAAGTCAAAGTGTCCAAATTATGAATAAAGTATAACCGAAGACGAGGAAATGCAACACTAGATCTTGATCGTCTACAAATCAAAAGAAACAAAACCACTTAACAACATATTAATTGCATTTTTGTAATTTGTAAAGTTTTTTTATGATAAGCGTAATATGTAAGTTAAAATAATTACCTTTCTAAAATGGGTTCATATTTACTTTCATGGCCTCAAGGCGGTCAATTACTGCATCATTAGTAAACTTACCTCACAGTTTGCCGGTTCTTCCAGCCGCCGTCCTAGTCTCCTAGAGTATTGTAATATTGACATATTGTTCTCCACTAACCACTACAATAGCCAATACGATCAAAACTTCTAGTCTTATCAAGTAGCCCTAATTTCCTAGGGTTAGAGAAACAAAACAAGAATTAGAACAAAATTCTGCAAATTGCAGTAGAGGTAGACACACAATATGCTGGGGTCTGATGCATCATACCTATTCTTTCTTTTTTCACTGGTTGGGCGAATTGGGGCGATCTGCCGATAGGCGGCGACCGCACGGAGGGCATACTTGCACGAAGCGAAACGGCGAGTAGACGAACAGCGGAACAGGCGAGGAGATAGGGGAAGGCACGTATGTATTGATGAATTGATCAATTTATTGATTGATCGATATATGTACCGGGCCTTCCGCTGGGCGTCACCGCTACTAGCAGGCTGGGCCGTCTGGGGCCTAGTTGGCTAACTGTGGCCTTTTGGTCTGTAGGGGTGTCCCGTCAGGAAATTTAGGGGTGTCCCACTCTTCATGGGCTCTGTATGTATAAGGTAAAATAGTTTAGTTTTTTACCCGGTGTCATGGGCTACCTGCTGGGCCAACGTGGGCCCGCCCCTGCATTGGAGAATGGATCGTTGATTGCTGGTAGTACTGAAATCTGACGTACGTTGTTGTGATGTTGGGGAAATGGCCGCCACAGCGGTGTACTACAAAGATGCAAACGTGTACTAGTACTCACTCCATCCGGAGATACTCGTCGAAGGAATGAATGTATCTAGATGTATTTTAGTGTAGATACATTTATTTTTCTGCATTTTTCGATTAGTATTTTCGGACGGAGGAAGTACTTGATAAGTATCGTATATTCATATACTTCTAGCTCGATCCGACGGGTGCATGAGCGTTAGTTGTGTCAGGCTGGGTAGGCCATAAGAAGCATCGCCGCACGACAGTAATGTTATACTACTCGTTACTAGTAGAAGGTACGTGCTATGCACGTGTTCTTCACTAATTCTTTTTAGTATCAACACATTGTGAATTTATTTGAAATGCAAAAACATTTTATATTTTGGTACGAAGGGAGTAGTATGCATGCCTATAAGTGTTAAATTCCGTCGAAGTGTCAAAGTTGCTGCGTTCGAATGTTTGCTGGATACAAACATTTCAGTGCTTTGATTTGTATAAAAGCTATAGCTTTTTACTTTTTTTTAAGAAAGCTATAGTCTATCGTTGTTGTTTGCCGGATCTTCTAAGCCTCCAGCCATTGAGAATTGAAGTTCTAAACAGCCACAAAAGATCTTACGTACTCCTGCACCACCACATGTGTGGGTCAGTTTGGAGCATTCCAGAAAGCTGGTGGAGTCGCTTTGGCGCCTATCCGTACATAATGAACCCATGAATTATCAACCGTTAGATCTTTTGAGCTGGGTACTGATAAACGGTGGATGTTTAGCTTCTGGAACAAATATATGGCTTGTAACTACTCCAGGGTCTTGCTAGATAGCTAATTCAAGTTCAAAAATTTGTGTACAATAGTAGTAGAGATACACGAATAGGAAGATAAAGTAGTTGAAAATATGACTGTTGAGACTGATTTGTAGTGTGGCTAGGTCTCAGTCCAAAGTCCACTGATATATTCCCTCCGTCCTAAAATAAGTATCAAAAATAAGTACCAAAATAAGTGACTTAACTTTGTATTAATTTTGTAAGTATTAAAGAAAATGAAAAAGAACATTTTGTACAACAAGATCAAAGGAATACAGTATCAACTCAGTCGACTGAGACTTACAAACCTGATTTGATAAACTAGATATGACAAGTGTCCCAACATGCATATTCACTATATTTTAGTATTTCTCAGCGAACCAGAAAAATAAATGACTTGGTGAACTAAATTAGACACTTATCAGAGAAACACCCTGTGCTAGCTAACCATGAAATGGAGTAACACAAACATAACACTTCTAGATATCCAAAAAAAAAAAACATAACACTTTTTTTTTTTGCGGGGAACAAACATAACACTTAATTGGCTATGAGTTTCATTAAGCCAACATTTCAAACCTGCCAACTTTTGTGACTTCACGTTCACAACCATGCAGATTACTACATTACAGATGACCATGATCAATTACCTCAGTCGCTAATGTAAAATCACCAAAAGAGCTACTCCCTCTGTAAACTAATATAAGAGCGTTTAAATCACTAAAGTAGTAATTTAAATGCTCTTATATTAGTTTAAGGAGGGAGTACTAGTGGATTACGCTCGACGAGTTGGCGCGCACTGCGTACAAACCTAGGGGTGTGTTCAAATGGCGAGATGACCAAGCCGAGGCATCGCCATTGCCAAAAACTAACATGCACGCTTGACTTACTTAGGCCTACTTAATTACTTAATTGTCTGCATCGAGCTAGCTAGTTGAACACGGACAGCGGCATCATGCACCCGGCAGCGTGCGCCTCGGCGGCGGCGGCCGCGGCCGCCATCACCATCACGATGTCATCCCCGGCGGCCGGGACTACGCCATCTAGGGCTCCCACGGGGTCACCGTCGGGCGCCGGCGCCAGGAAGTGTCCCTGGAACAGGTGCGCGTGCATGGGGAACAGGTAGTGCGTCTGCTCCAGCATGCCATGCCGCATGTCGGGCCTGTCCACGGGCGCCGGGCTGGCCGCGGCGGCGGCCGCCGCCTGCTGCTGCTTCTGCTTGGACGACGTCTGGGGGTTCCTCTTCCGGCGCTTCTTCTCGTAGGCGATGCCGCGCGCCTTGGCCTGGCCGTCGCGGACGTCGCGGAGGTAGAGCCTGACGGCGCGCGCCCCGAACGGGTTGGCCTCCGGGCGGCCGCCGTGCTCCTCGAAGGCGGCGCGGAGACGGCCCACCAGCGCATCCAGGGAGCCCCACGCCTGCTTCAGTGGGCACGGGCACGGGGCCGGCGGCGAGGGGTGGCCGAAGAAGGGGCACCCCGCGGCGTGCACCTTGGTCTTGCCGAACTGGTCCAGGTACCGGAGGAACTCCAGCACGTGCGCGCCGCTGCACCGCGCCAGCTCCAGCGGGGGGCGGTGGTTCCGTAGGTACTGTCCGAACGTCTGCCAGTCCCGCCGCTTCTGCGACTCGTACCTGCTCGGCCGCGGCGCTCCCAGCGCCGACGACGCGCTGCCGCCTCCAGGGCTGTCCACCGCGCTCACGCCAGACATGTCCATCGCCACCGGCCGACCAACTTGCCTCCTCGCCGGTTCTCAGCGCTCAGATCTGCACCGATGGCATGGCATTAGTAAACAATGCCGGCCTTGACCAATGGTCAAACAACTGCAATAATATATTTCTATGGCCATATGGCTTATAGTGTCCCAGTGTACTGTCAAGAGCTCGTCGGTTTCTTGAAGTTCTTGGCGAACTAGTATCTCCCTCCAATCCTAGCCATGGCATATCAGGATTCAGCGAGAACTAGGGTTTCAGGTTAGCTGACACCTAGCATGAGGACAAGTGTTTCTCAGGCGCATGTTTCTCAAACCTACGATCTCAGGCTCTCGGCTGAGCTGAGCTTTGGCAGCCATGCAATGATGCAAATGAGCTGACACAACCTGAGACATGCAGAAGGGGAAAAAACAACACGGGACATGGCAAAAACAGAAACATGCTGCAGGATGTAGCAAGAACTCTGAGGCTAGCTACCTGCACAGAAGCACAGTGATGGCGATCGATGGGTGAGATTACTTCATTGAAAACCTCTGACCGGTCAACTCGCACGCTTGGATGGAATTAATGGAACCCTAGCTAGCGCTAGTACTCCCTGGCAAGCGCTAGTAAAGATCTGGTAGTAGCTTTTTCTTTCTTTCTTGGTGCAGTAAAAAGATATATTCACACACACACACACAAAACCTAGTCGATGATGATGAAGACGAAGAAAACTAAATCGATAGGGTCGGGAGTGCATGACTAAATAACGCTTCTTGGTTCTTGATTCCCAAATTGAAAGATTTAGTCATGCTCAGGCAAGCATGCCCTAGATTTGACTAACACATCCGAGGATGCAGCAGTTCAAGGCACATAATCAATCAAGGACAAATCAGAGAGCATGGATCAAGATCGAGAGGAAAGCGCGCGCAAATCTGCAACCCGATGAAGCAGAAAACGTACGCACTCACCAAGAAGACGATGAAGGTGGGAGACGACGAACAAGAAGGCAGGCAACCAGGAACACCAGCTGCTCGATCAGCCGGCACGATGGAGGTGGAGCAGCAGACCAGAGCTGCTGGTGAGGAGGCGAGGAGGGGAGTCAGGAGAAGGCCAAGAGCTAGAAGAAGAAGATGGGGTCTATGTAAAGGAGGAAGGGAGACAAGGGGGCGGGACCCAGGGAGCGCGGATATCAAACCTGGTGGGGCAGGGAGGAGAGAGAGGATGTCGATCCTTTCCACATTGCAGAAAAGGTCGTCACCTCAGTTGTCACCTCACCTTCTCTCTCATATCATCATCGTCGATCTACTCTCTCTCTCTCCATGGCTATAGCTTAGGTAGTACACCTATCGCCAGAGGCAGCTTGTCTTCGCATTGAATGCGGTGGAGTGGGAGGTATGGAGATGTCACGTCAAGATGATGGATTCCACAGGACAGGAGAGAAACAAATGCGGCCGAGGGGGAGGCCATATTTGTCTATTCAAAGCTCTGGCGTGTGTGATGAGGGAGGGAGGGAGGGGTGTCCAGTCGTCGATCGGTATCTACTCGTTCCTTCTGTACTCGATCGTCGATCTGCTTGTCGACGTGATGAGGTTAGGTAGGTGGATGGATGGCCCATTTCATCCACGGTATTCTAAAAAGGGATTAAAAAAATGAATGAATTTAAAAAATATATATATATATTTATTTAAATCTGACAATATATTTAAATATTTACATGATATTTTCACCATAATTTATTTAAGTGCATACAAAAACCGATCCTCCCAAACTTATAAGTAAATGGGAAAAAATTTCATGGAAAGGTCATCTACGGAGGGTCTAAACCTATCTAAGACATTTTGCTACGAGTTGTAGTGTGTTTCTATTATCTTGCTTTGAATTGCACATTTAGAATTGTGGCATGAATCATAATACATTATGTTGATTTTTTGTAGGGAAACAACAGGGCTCTGCTGCGTATTTTATCGATTTTAAAATAAATAGTACTTAGTAATAGTTTGTGAACAAAAAAAAACTTATACGGCAGCTAAGAAAAGGAAGAAGGATACAAGAATAGTCGAAACTTAGACAAATAAAGAGACACACAACATATTACAAGCAGCCTTAGCGAAAAGCCTGCACCCAATCCTGAAAACCATTGTAACCTTTCTTTTCGCTCTGAATATGATCCACTTAAGCACTTCTTTAAATTTCCTTCTGCAATTAATTACACACACCAGGGGGCATTCTCTTGAAAATGAAGTCATTTATTATGGTCCAGATAGCCCATCAAACAAGAATGATGATCTCTAGGGAGAAAGGAACATATTAGCAGCTGTTTTAGAGCATCTACCTCCTCTTGTATGCCTAAGTGGACAGGCGTCCAAGTGGGACAAATATAAGACCGTCATAGTTGTGCAAAGGAACAGTGCAGAAAGGGATGACCCCTTGTTTCTAACACCTGCATATTACACATGACACAAGTGTAATCTGGATGAAAAAGTTCTTATGTTGCAAAAGTGTTTGAGTGTTCAATTTGTTGGTTGATCAAAAGCTAGAAAAAAATCGTATGTTTTAGTTGGCAACATGTCTTCCAGAGGCATCTCAAAATTGGCCATATTTTCAGTGCACGAGAGAACAACTTATATACCCGACAGGCCTTATAATCATTAGAGCCCAAAGGTAGTTGCCATTGATCCTAATTTGGAGTGAGAATTAGATCATGTGAGAATCGCTCCAACTCTTGGAACTGCACATAAGCATCTTCACACAATCGCAAGTGAAAAGGTTCAGCTAAGTCATCTGATTGCCACAATTCAAAGATGGAGAGATGTTGATTTGTAGCAAAATATTGTGTAAATGACCCCAGAGTGCAACCTTAGGTATTCCATTCAAGGCATCTGACCAAAAATCCAGAGCTTGCCCATTTTGTAAGATGCTAGCTGCATGCTCCTTATAAATTGGGAGAAGTTTCAAAAAAATCTCTCCATCAAAAGGAACAACTAGTCAGAGGAATAGATAGAGTAGCATGCTGGTAATAGAGTTCCATGACAAAGTTGGCCCATGGATTTTTCACAATGATTCTGAATTTATGGAACATTTTCATAAGTAGGCAAGTATTTTAAGTAGAGAGATTTAAGATATCGACCCCTCCTCTGTCCTTTGGTCTGCATATTAATTCCCAAGCTGCTAAAGGAGGTTTTCTTTCAAGTCTTTGTCTCTCCAAAAAAGATGTCTCCTATACTTGTCAATTTGCTCAATTATAACTTTATAAAGGAGAATGTAGCTCATAATAAATGTGCCTAAAGAGGATAAAACCACATTAACCATCAGTAATCCATCATATCTTAGAAATTGAGAGCATGCGTTGAGTCTCTTCTGAATTCTGCCAGTGATGTACATGAGGAATTCCATCCTTGGCTTAGTGAAACTGAGTGGAGTGCCTAAATAAATAAATGGGAAATTGCCAATTGTACATCCCAAGAGGTTGGCAGGTAATGCAGAGTGTCCTCGAAGACACTAATTGGCAGGATGCTTGACTTATGATAATTCACGTTTAAGGCAGAAGCCTTGAGCAAGATATTAAGCAAATGTTGAAGTTGTTCCACTTGCCCTAGACAAACTGGCATGATGACCGGTGTATCATCAACATATTGCAAAACAGGAAAATCAGGGCAGGAAGTAAACCTGACTGGAGGCCAAACAATTCCTCTCTACATGGTATCATTTAGGATAGTTTGTAGGAAATCAACCACTGGGAGAAATAGAAGGTGGTGGAGGGGATCTCCCTACCTAACTCCTCTTCAACATTTAAAAGATTTTCCAAGTACTCCATTTAGTAAGACTGCATAAGTAGCATGACCAAAGATCTACTAAATCCAGGAGCACAATTTTAAACCAAAGTCATTTTGATTTGAGATAGCCATAATCATGTCATGTTCCATTTTGTAAAAACACATATTCAAAGTCTAGTTATAGCACCATTGATGAATTTTTGCTCTTGTGACATTGAAACAAATATTCATAAGCCCATGTTATGCCATCTCTTTTCTTAGTTGTGACATGAATTAGTTCCATGATGATTGGTTGAAATCTATTGGCAAGAAGTTTGGTGAGCAATTTGATGGCACAACTAAGAAAAGAGATGGGTTTTTAGTCATTAACACACGAAGCACCATTTTTCTTTGGGGTGAGTGTGATAACTAAATTATTAATGCTCTAAAGACAAATATCCCCTATGTGAAATTGATGACAAAGATCCTAAAAGTCTTGTTTGATAATTGGCCAATATTTTCTGATAAAGTCTATATTAAACCCATCTCGGCCTAGAGACTGGTTTAAGGGTAAAACCTTGATAATGGTATCAATCTCTTCCTTGGAAAAGGGGGCTTCCACGAAAGAGAGATTAGGGTTTACAACAGGCTTAGTAGCTCACGAGCAATTACAATATGTTGATTTGAATGTCATAGTTGACATATGTTATCTTTTTGCTATAAATATGCTAGAATTTTAGGATGCATGCTTACATATTTCATTTTAATATTTCCTATTCCCCTCTCACCTTGTTTGAACTCTATATCTTTTCACTTTTATCTTATGCCGTCTCATTTGATCTCAATGGATGATGCGGCCAAAATGGGTTTTCTAGCTTAAATTATGTCCAAACACTGCTATGAAAATATTCACCAATGGCGTGCCCAAAAGGGGTACGAGTGGCCTACGAAGACCATGCGGCTGGTAAGTAGCCTTTTCTAACTTATACACTTGTGGCATGTGCCTACAAGAGCGTGGCGCTAGCATGTCTACCTGGCCTAGGAGAAAATGTTGTCGTAGCAATCCGAAACTACTATGATGGCAGTGTTTTGGCCTAAAACTGATCGACAACGGTTTACTATCGTGGTAGCAAAATTGGACTAAAAATTATAGTCAAACAAACAACTAAAGAATGTCAATTCATTGATTACTTATCTACTAGAGTCATGGTACCATACTATGATATATTTCTAGCGTTAATTAAACTAACAAACTTCAAAACTTGCTCTTA